TTGTCCTTTTAAGCCTATACTGCTGGCCAACTATCTTCATTTCATTTCCTGTTCTCTGAGTAACTGCTCTGACAAAGGGGACATAAAGGACAACAGGTTTATTTCCACTCACAATTCCAGGCTGTAGTCTACCACAGTAGGAAAGTAACATAGACAGAGTGTGAGGGGCTTGGTTATATCAAACCCATAATCAGAAACATAGAGAAATGAATGTACTCAAAGGAATGAATGAGTGATTATTTGCACTCAAGTATCTCTTTCCACTCATACAGTTCAGGATTCCCTGCCTAGGGAATGACACCATCCATAGTGGGTGAGGATTTCCTCGTCAATTAACATCAGATAATCACCCACAGATACGCCTACAGGCTGACATGGTCTAGACAATCTCTCTGTGAGACTCTCTTCCAGATGAGTCTAGATTGTGTGGTGCTCACAATTAAAGAGCAAACATCACATGTACATTCCTTACGAGTCATCCTGGAGATTTCCTCCCTCATCTTTTACCATGTCTGAGGTGGTGATTCTCCTTTTTAACTCATTTTTTCCTGTTTTAGGCAGCATAATGGTTCCAAAAGAGGTTGGAATCTAACCTCAGAACCTTTTACTATGTTACTTCCATGGGAAAATGAGGCTGCTAATCAGCAGATATTGAATTAGAGGTTTTCCTGGTTTATTTCTATAAATCCAATGTATCCACACACTTCCTTAGAAACTTCAGGGAGATGCTGAATAGGAGAATTAAAAGACATCACAGAAATGCCCAGAAAGATCCAGATTTATTAGCTTAGAATGTAAAGAGTATGTGCCATGCAGTTAGAACTGTGAGCTCAGATTCCGCCTCTACCACTGCTGTTTTGACCAGCATCCCTTGGCTCTGCATATTTTTCATGGGCAAGCAACAGTAGTGTCAGAGCGTTTCTGGAAATGTTAACCAAATCACTGCACATGAAGCACTTACCACAACACCTAGTACATGGTAAACACTAAATAAAGAATAAAGTAAAAAAAAATGAGTTTGTGGTCTATAAGCCCAGATGATGCACCTTTATCTATGTCCTTGTAACTTAGTTCTTCTCTGCACATTCAAATTAGGTTGATAATGACATAGTAACTGTCATTTTTATTTTTCTGTCATACTGCATCACAGGCAATATTTTAAGATCTCTTTAAAATCTCCTGGGGGGTGCAATAAATATCAACTCATATTTTTCTAGTCAATTCTGCTTGGTGACACATATGTAATCTAGCAAGTTTACATCCACCAGACCCTTTCAACTACATTCTAAGGTAGAGCATAAAAGCTATTTCCATTCACATTCTGAACACTCACTGCTATTAACTTTGAGTACCAATCTCTTAAAGCTTGACACCTTCCTCTGGTGACTTCTTTTCTGCTTCCAAAAGCATCTTGAGTTGCATAATTTGTTTCAATTACCCATTCTAGGACGGAGTACAAAAGCTGTCTCTATTTGACTTAGGATTTGGCTGAAAGTTGGTTAAAGAACAAACTTAGAGATGAATTTTGAAATTAGCAACAATGACTAATTTCAACATTTACGTGGAGTACTGATACTTTAATCATTTAAATAACAAAAAGTTGGCACCAAAGTGCTTTATATATGTATTTATTTTTATTTTATGTGTGTAAGTGTTATGCTTGCATGTATGCAAGTACACTCATGTCATACGATGCCTGTGGAGGACAGAAGAGGATGTCAGATCCCCTGGAACTGGAATTACTGACTGTTATTAGTCATCATTTGGGTGCTGGGATTCAAACTTGGGTCTTCTGCAGGAATAAACAGTGCTCTTAACCACTGAGCCATCTCTCCAGTCCCCAAAGTGCTTTAAATTGTATCCCATCCATGATTAGAGTGAGGTTTCACTATATTCAGATTTATTTCTCCTTGGGAGGCCTGGATGCATTATTTATGAATTAGATTCCTCTCTCTACATGAAATATTAAGGCAAGATATAGAAAGAAATGTAAAGAAAAGTGCTGATTTTTGTCTTGCAGTAATAGAAAAACCTGGTGGCAAAAACATTTCATATTTAAAGGCTAGAAATTGTGATGAACTGATTTATTTATACCATTTCTCAAACTTTAAAGCTGGGTAGTTAGTTCTGTCAGACTTCTGAAACATGAGACAGATATGAACATATTTTTAGGGGGGAAAAAGCAAGGCAATTGCTAGAGTTCTTAGCTTAAGACTCCAACCAGGCTCAGAGTTAAACCAGGGAAAGGACCACATCACAGTCACTCATGAAAGCCACAGTGAACTCTTAATTATACATAAGTGTATTAACAGGCTTGGGGATTAAATATAGAAACCTAGAAGAACACATTATCTTTAATAACTCACCAAGTAATAAAAAATAGGATTTTGAAAAAGGGTCTATTGCTTGTACTTATAAAAACACCACATAGTATTGCAACCTGCCTCTCCTTCCTTTGGACTGACAGATTTTCAGCTCGGTGAGATAGCATTCTATCTCTATAACACCCTACAGTATAGACTGCTCTCTTAGGACTAGGAGGGTGGGAAGTGAATGAAGAATGAAGGAAAACAGCAACCTAATTCATTCTTCATCTAACACTGGAAATGGCGGTGTTGGGGGAGAGACCTAACAGACAGTAGAGGTCTTAGGTAGCTATGTAGATGTTGGCTGCTTTGGAAAATACTGGCACTGGACCTTTCCTGCATAGACAGCCATGGGTAAAGGATTAGAGCAGCAGGGTTTTAATTACTGGTCACATTTCTGATGCTGGAAGATGATGTGGCATCCCTGGGTTGCCTGGAAGCCATTAAGGGTTAGCTATCTCAATGGGCTTCAGGAGTTCTAAACCTCCTAAGACTACTGTAGAGCAGGGGGCTTTCTGATAAAGGGTGGGGACATACCATTCTAAAATCGGCATCACTGAGGACCATCCTGTAACAGTTTAGACAGGCCTGCAGATCACCTGGATGGGACAAATGACTTGTTCTAGAGATTATAAGTAGAAGTGTAAAGCCAGTCTAAGATGTACGTGGGACAACAGTTTCTGGCAGCTATCTGCTTTCACAATGGGCTTGTGCTCTGCTTTGCTCTGTCATAAACTCTACCTAACTTCCATGCTACACTGGGCATTCTCTTTGAATTCTTTCCTTTTAAAATATTTTATGTATTGGTTTTATTTTATGTGTATGAGTGTATTGCCTGCATGTGTCTAAGTGCACCTGTGCCATTGAATGCCCATGGAGGTCAGAAGAGGGCACTGGATTCCCCTGAAACTGGTGTTAAGCTAGCCACCATGTGGGTGCTAGGACTTGAACCCAGGTCTTCTGCAAGAGAAGCCAGTGCTTTTAACTGCTGAGCCATGGCTCTAGCCCTCCTCTCTGAATTCTTGCAGTGGAGATTTAAAGCTTGGAGGAGATGAAGGGTGCCCAGACAGAAAGTCCAGTGACAGTTTGTATTTTTTCAAATATTTTATTTATTATTTTTATTTTATGTGTATGCACGTATTGTCTGCATGTAGGTAAGTGCACCTGTGTCGTGCAATGCCCATGGAGGACAGAAGAGGCTGTCAGATCCCCTGGAACCGGAGTTACAGACAGTTGTTAGGTGCCATGTGGGTGCTGGGATTCAAACCTGGGTCTTCTGCAAGAACAGTCAGTGTTCTTAACCACTGAGCCATCTCTCCAGCCCCATCAGTCTGTATTTCTTTAATGATATTTTCTTAGAGAATGGAGCTTAGGGTAAGTAGGTACTAATATTTCATCTTAGAAAGATGATGCAAAAATGTATGAGTGGAAGAAGAGAATGGGGGCAGAACATAATTCTGATGAGCTGCGTGTGTTGACTGGTCCTTAAACCTGAGGGACAAATTTACATTCTAAATACTCCACTTCCCTTCTCTCCTACTACACGTCAGCCTGAAGTGACTCAGCCCACACTGTCTTCAACAAACGTGTCATTTGCTTATCTCAAGGATATTAAAAAACCCTCTGAACTAATCACCTGCTTCTACCCCCGTTTCTTAGAACCTATTCTCCCCACAGGGCAAGTTAACAGAAGTACAGGAATTCAGCCCTCTAAACTGAGGAAAACGTGTCTGAGGTACACTGGTAGCGTCCCTCACAAGCTCTCCAGCCACTGGCTCTGGGCTCTGACTTCTTTCCTCCTCAGTGGAGCAGCCCCAGGTCGCCAGTCTCTAAACCCAGGGCCACCCTCCATCTTTGGTCCTGTGTCCTGGTCTTGCCTTCCTTTAAGGGCATCTTCCTGAAATCCACAGGTCCAGATTCCTTGGCTCAGATTCCTCCTAAATCAGACCTCTCCAGACCTCCTTCCCTTAAAGCAGTGTTTCTCTTTTCTCCAGTCCACTCATCAGCTACTTTTCCTCTTTCCCTCCATTTGGCTTGTTCTGTTTCTCACTTGATTTTTGTCTAACTCCTACCAGAATATTGGATCGTCATGAGAAGAAATGCAAAATAACAGCGTTTATCCATCATCCTATCCCTAACCGAAATCAGTGTCTAGCACAGGGTAGAAGGTCAAAAAAGTTTTGCTAGAAAAAGTGACTGAATAATTGTAGAATTGCCTATGTGCAAAACACAAAAATTTATATATATATATATATTTAAGTTAAATTTTATATCACATTATAATCAATTATTAAGTAGTAATGTGAGGACAGCTATACCTTCCCCCTTCTTTATTATCCTTTTGGACATAGAGTTGACCACATTGAACAAAAATAATGAAAAATTAAGCTTGTCACTTTCAAGCTTATTTGTGTGTGTGTGTGTGTGTGTGTGTGTGTGTGTGTGTGTGATTTGTAAATAAACCTTTATATTGTTCCAAATGTTCCTAAACTCTCCCTGCCTCTTTTCTTCATGACATAACTACAGGTATTCCAGAATTGGAAAGCTAGACTAACCTTTGGACTAAATGAGTTAATGATTCTCCATTTAATAAGCTGTTTTTTAAATTTGGTTCTTATTTTCTGAGTCAACTGATCCAGCTTGAACTCCACTGGATTGATTGAAATCCTATAAACTGTGGAAGTGGAGGAAGAAAAGAATCACTGTGTAAGTAGACTACTGACATGTTGGTAAGTTTCAGTGGAATCAATGGAGAAACATTCTTCTCTATGTTCAATGATGATAAAAATTGGACAACTTTCTTGCAAAGTAATTTGTCAGTATATATAAGAATTCCTAAACATATGGCATAATACAGAAATTTTGATTCCAAGAGAGTAACTGGACACACAAGACAATATATGCTTAAATATGTCTCTCTTAAAATGGCATGCTACAATGAAAACAGATTCCACATTACACATGTTAAAAATAGAGGGCTGATTAAAAAAGTCTAAGTGCAAGTTTGAAAAGGTATATTGTAGAGTGACTGAATTTTGTTGTGGTTATGTTAAGCACATGACAATGTGAAATATACATAAAGTATAGATTATGATCCAATACTCATATTTTAAAATAAAAGTACACCGATTTTATTATGAATAAAAAATATAAACATGTAGAGTGCTTTTTATTTTATTTATCTAATTTCTGCAGGTTAAGGACCAGTACTCTCATGATTATCTTTAGCTACAAACACATTAAGTCCAGCCTGACTTAGAGGGAGACTGGAATGAACCACCTCATCTCCTCAAGCATCTTGGGGTTTGTCTTCTCCAGCTGCTGCTGGTCCTTCCCTTCTCCCACCTTAGAACTGGTCCCCCCAGCAACAATACATCTCTCACATACTTTCCAAAGTTGTTTACAGTATAGAATCAGGGTGAGGCTCTTCTCATATTTTATTCATTCTAAAATCACTTTCTCAGAAATGCAATTTCTAAAGAATGGTTCCTTTAGGAAGTATTTTTGCATAATTAATCTTGAACAGTTTAGTAAGAACTATTTTGTTGTCTGGTTACTGGTGAAGAGAAGAAGTTTTACTTTTCTAAGTAGTAATTTACATGTAAATAGCAATCACCAAATAGCAACAAGAGCAGAGCAATTACTGTGCAGCTGTTTGCACATCATCTGCTTCCCCGGACCCCAGAGGGGAAGCATAAATGGAGAACCAGGACCATTCCAATTCCATCTCTTTTCTTTTATCATAGAAATACTGCATGTGTTTGTAGCTTAACCGCTTTCCAGCTGAGAACAGAGCACTGCTGTGTTTGTGACAGGATAGTTCCCAAACAAACCAGAGAGGAGAATACTCTTTGCAAAGACTGTCCTGAGCTTCTTGTTTTTCAGGAAAGACAACCCAGAGCTGCTTGGAGGTTGGAGGGGAGGGAGGTGGGATGCAAAGAGTTCTGGAATCATTTTCTATTTCTGAACATGACTTTGTCACAGGGGGATTAAAAACTCACAAACTGACATGATTAACTTAGAACATTTCTGTGGCTTGTGGAATAGAAATTTAAAGTGCCAGGTTTTCAGTTTGTTTTTCTAGGCAAGCAAAGTCAATTGAAGTTATGGGAATAACGCTTTCAGTTCCTAAAAGCTCATCCACCTCTAACGCACAATTTCAAACACACAGGAAACAAGATGGATAGTAAAATGGCTTATTGTAGTCAAAAGAATTTGACTATTTTTAATTTTGTCAAATTACATGGTCAGGTAATTGGGCAAATCATACACTATCACACTCATAAAAATCAGTTTCGAAAATGAAAAAGATGTATTTTTTAAAATCCAAAGTAATTACAAATTCTCATTTACTCAGCCTAACTGAAGACAATAGATCTGTTCAAAATGCCTCCTGGCTTCTAGTCAATTTCTTGTTATTGAAGAGTTCGATACCAGTAATTTATTATTGACTCAAAGAGTCATTTCCATTTTCTACCAATGATTTTTCTAAAATTTCTATGAGCAAATAATAAGAGACAGGCATACTTAAAAGACACTATAACAGAGGGTGCTGTCTGTACATTGGCCTTTCTGGATCTTTCTTTTCTATTGATAGGGAAAAATTCAGAATATCTATGAAGTCACCAGTTTCAATCTGTATAGTGAGCAGCAGGCTAGTCTGATGGAGGGGAGGACTCCCCAACCACCCCAGAACAGTGCACAGTCAGAAATATTATTATGTAAGGAAATGTAAAGCAGTTAATAAGTATATGATCCATTCAAAGGTAAGGCATATTTGAAAGAAAGATACCTTTATCTAAGACATATTTGATATTATTTATAACCCCCCTGTAAATTAGGTATTGCCATGCCTGTGATATAAATTGAAAAAGAAAAAAAGGAATTCTGAAGTTTAAGAACTTAGATAACTATTTCTAGTTTGTAGTGAAATGTCAAAAGATTCTTTGGGCTAGCCCAGATCAAAATGAGAGTGTTGCCATGTGTGGGGTACATGCATTTAACCCCAACACTCAGGAGGCAGAGGGAGGTGAATCTCTGTGAGATCGAAGCCAGCCCATTCTACACAGTGACTTCCAGGCCAGCTAGGGCTTCAGAAGGGAAACCCTTTCTCAAAAAGATCCCCCCCCCAAAAAAATAAGGAAAGAAAGGGAAGAGAGTGTCTGGGTTCCTCCTATGTAGTTCAGTGATGCATTATATATTCATGTTTGGGTAAAGAGGGACTCTGTTCAATGGACTCATTCACTTTTCTGAGTAATATGTAGTAATTGACTAGCTAATAGATATGACGTGTACATGCAGTATAACAGTTATTGTAAACTAAAGCTCACAGGAAAAGAAAGACACCTATATTAAAGGTTATACATGGGTGATTTACTGAGTAGACCTTCATGACCGTACAGCACTAAGAATGTTGTAGATCACAAGTCAAATCATCTTGTGCTGTTTGTAGTCCCCTAAATAGTTGTTCATTGTACACCTTGGGGTCTGGCCTAGCATCCTTGTAACTGTCTGATAAAACCTTTAGAATGCATTAACCACCATTTTCACCAAACCAAAAGCTAAACATGTTAGTAGATAACATCTGAAAACTAAAGTAAAAATATCTCCTCTCTTTCCTGTGTCTACCTACCTGATCTTCCTAACAAGGTATTTCAGAAATGCCTTGACTGGTGACTTTCTCTGCATTAGAGTCCAAATACCCACATCTGTGTTGGAACATCAACCCATGTTTCTGGGTTAATGTCATTTATATTTGGTTCAGAAGAAATCATCTTATTCCCATTAATGATAAAGTTTTGTTTAGTGCTGTGTATTTGTAAATAGGGTGTCATTCTTTAAAGTGTCCTGTCAAAGTTAGTAGATTTCAGGTACTCTCAAATCAGATTATATCAACTGCAGTAATCACAGTGGTATGTATTATACCCCAAACTGAGGGATTTGTAGATGGCAGAGGTTTCCCTAGTTTGAGGTCCTGAAAGTGACCCTGGGGTGGGAAATTAATATTTGTTGGGCACATGCCCCGTGGAAGACATTTGGGATAGATACAGTGTTTCTTGTAGCCCTCTGAGAAACACTGCTTGGTGGAAACTATCACGCAGGGCAACTTCACATAGTTTGTAAGATGGTATTGCCTTGTTCATGCAAATTTCCATGCCATATGTAAATTCCTAGACTCACACAGTAGTCATTGGAAAGCACCTTACTCATTTTGTAGGGCAGGAATGGACATTCATAGAAACAATTCACTCAATGCCAATAAACATACTGGTGTGCATGCTAGATCAAGGCAGGTTCTGAAAACACATCATGTCAAAATGTTGGTGAGAAATGATGCTCTGTGGTTTTTTTCAACTATTTTTAAATTTAATTTTTGTGAATTTCATACAATACATCTTAATCATATTTATCCCCCAGTGATTTTAATAGACGTACCTCACTGTCTCATAAAATCTACTTTCTCTGCAGAGGACAACAGCTGGTTCTTCACTGAAAGAAAACAAGTGTGCACACAGCTGCCTCAGTGTGTCCCTCCGCTTTTCCAGAATGCAAGCCCAGCTAAGTAACTAGTGCTGGCCCTCTGACTATGACGGCCACACAAACTGCTGGGAACAGAGAAGCTGAGGATGCCCCCCCCCCCCCCGTCACCGGCGATGTGGTTCTGAGGCAAGAAATTCAATTTGCATTATTATTTCAGGAGAGCTGCTTGAAGCTGCTAGCCAGATTTGCTATTTAAATCTTATAGTTTACTTTGTATCAGCCATTTGAAGTCAAAGGACGAAAAGTAAAAAAGAATAAATAAATAAAAACAAAACCCAAACAACATCAAATTACAGGAAACAGAAGACTTGTTTTCTAAAGCTGACACTAGTCAAGAATAATAATTAGAAAATATAGACATTATGTTTTCAGGAAAAACTATAATAATATATAATTATATATGATATTATGGTTACAATAGTATATTATAGTTTTTCCTACATTATTCTCAGAAGCTATTTTATTAATACCTTGAAAAAGTGAACCAGGCAAAAAGCACAGTCAAGTGCCTGTCTTTTCTCAGATTGCCAAGTTTGTAAAATTAAAATATTCTGGGTCTAGAGAGATGGCTCAGCAGTTAAGAGCACTGACTGTTCTTACAACTGTCTGTCCATCACTCACTTCCAGGGAATCCAATGCCCTCTTCTGACCTTCGTGGGTATTGCACAACAGGGATACACTTACATACATGCACAGAATATACTCAAACAAATAAAATAAAAATAATAAAATATTTTGAAAATTGATTCTGATAATCAAGCTAGAGATATTAGAATATACTATGTCTTTATCATTTAAATCCAGTTTTTAATTATTTAAATTTTTATTAGCTAGACTATCTCCTATGTTTCATGGGGGTATTTTACAAATTGTTATAAAATAGCTTCACCAGTTAGTTAATATCATTGTTTTAACTCTCAGCAAGGTAAGGTATAGATGTTATCAATAAGGATACTGGTCATAGAATCAACAGTGGGTGTTTTCTATTGAACCAGCACACTGAACTTCCTGCCTGTTCTTGCCACCACTGATGGATCCCATTTGAGAACAACTCATATGTCTGGAGCCCAAAGTTGGGCCAGCTGCAAGGACAGTTTACTGTTCCACTGACTGGGAGACTGTCTTAAGTGCTGGGAGAATCTACTTCTAGCCCGCCATTATGCTCC